TTAGTATCAGTAATATCAGCGTTGCTTATACTCGTGTTGTTCATCTTGCGGCTATTGTAAGTAATAGTATTATTTATCACTCGTGTTCTTATTGTCAGCAGTATGTGTATTATTGTTCTCCGTCGTGTTGCCCAGCTGCCTGCAACAAATCCAGCCACAATGCCTGTGCAACAGCGCAGCAGGAAGGAGGCCGAGCATAGGAACAGCGCAATTCGGGCACGCGGTCAGAACTGGGACGGGTCGTGAAGTCGATCACGTCTTCGTCCGCGCGGTGGGGGGAGGTCGACTTCACACCCCATTGCAGCTCAGCGAGCACTCTGAACTGAGCGAGGGAACTCGACCGCATCTTCTTCCGCGCGGTGGGGAAAATGATGAGGAGGACGAGGACGAGAGGGGGAATATGAAGACGGTGAGGAGAAGACCTCTTAGGGGCTCTCTAAGGGGTTTCTTGGGAGCCTGCTGGGTGCCTCCGCTTGGCCCGTCTGACGCATTCGGAGGCAGTCTAGCTTGGGGCCCTTTTGGGGGGCTCTTGGGGGCCTCATCGGTTGACTGGGAGCTGCCTTGGGAATTTCTTGGGTGGTCGGAAACCCTAATTGGGGAGAAGTTCAAAATATTGACAAACCAATCGGAACTCTATGCACTTCCACTCCTCGGAGGCCTCTGGGGCCGCCTTAGGGGGGGTTGGCCTGACGCCTTCGGAGGCCGTTGTGGGTGCCTCTCTGGGACGTATGGATGCCCTATTGGAGCGCTTTAGGGCCGACTTGATGCCCTCTTGGGAGGCTCTTGGGCGATCTTGGGAGTCTTCTTGGGCCGACTGGGGGCTTTCTTTGGGGCCTCATCGGTTGTTTTAGAGCTACACCAAAATCCTTCAAAACCTAATGAAACCATGCTCATTGCATTCTCGGGTTCTCCTGGAAAGCCTCTTGGAGCCTTCCTCTCTTGGGCCTCCTTGGAAGCCTCTGGAGCCGTCTTGAGGCCGTTCGGGATTATCTAATGCCGTGTTGGGCCATATTGGTGTCCTCTTGGTGTCACCTTGGTTGTCTTGGAAGCCTTTGGGGGGAGCCTCTTGCGCCGACTGGAGGTCAAAAAGAGCGCTGGAGATCAAAAGGAGGGGTGGTGGTTTTCGAACGACGCGTGCGGTAATTAGGGGGGGCCCTCGAAATCGCTAAAACACCCCCCAACCACCAGAGTAGCATTCGTGCAGGCGTGGCAGATGCGTCTTGTTCTTCTTATAAGATTTCTGATTAATCCCGTTCTTATTCTTCTCTCTCAATACGCTCCCTGGCCCCCACATCCGCGCACGTGCCTCGGGCCACGATGCGATATTCCCCCTCTTCCTGGCGTCCCTCTGCTGTGCACTCGAACCCAGAGATCCGATGATATATGTTCTTCATCCGCGACCCAGAGGTCTCAACCACTTCGGCGGCGAGCGAAGGGGGGAAGTGAGAAGGAGGAGGCCTTCTCACAAGGCGGCGGGACTTCTCACAAGACCTCGCACCTTCTGAGAAGTTGTTCGTGTCGCTGGGAAAGGCAGAGGCAACTTCTCAGACGGTCAGGGGGCTTCCGAGCCTTCTGAGAAGGCCCTCCCCTTCTCACTCCCCCCCTCTGGGCTCGCCGCCGACGCTTCCCTGGAGGAGGTGCCCCCTCGCGGGCCACTCGTTCCTGCTTCGGGGGCCCGATGACGGGCCCCGGAGGCCGAGATCGGAGGCAGACGCGACGGCGGCGGCCAGCGTTCTCAGCAGCCCCGCAGTGGGTACTTTTTTTACCAGCCTGGAACATGTCCCCTATCCCTCTGCGGGGCACCTCCTCATCACGCTGCCAATCTTGGGGATTCCCTTATTTTTCAAAGGCGGACCCCTAAGATTGTCATCGCCTCTGGGCGTGTCAATCTTGGGGATAGGGATACGTTCGGGGCTGGTAAACTTTGTAAACCCACCGAGGGTTACCACCTCAGGGCCTCCTCCCTGCACTGCAGCGTTGCCCGCATCGGGAAGGGCGGGGTTCGGCAGAGCCGTTTTGGCATTCTCGGGAGGCCTCCAGACTTCGGAGACATGTTCTAAGCCTTAGACGGCTTCTCAGAATGCGTGGCGGAAAGGCTTCTGAGAAGCCCCGCCGCCTTCTGAGAAGGCCTGCCACTTCTCACCCTGACCTTGCAGGGTGCTGAAAGGACCCTCCAGGCCTACAAACCTTTCAGGACTGCTTCAAGCCTCGACTTTAGCACTCCTGGAAAGTCAGGGCACTTCCCCCCGGGAGCGCCGCCGAGCCAACGAAGTCCACGCCAGGAGGGTTGGTGGCCGTAGTGCGCGGCGCTACGGCGAGAGCCACATTTTGAAAACCACCCACCCTCAATCCGTGAAGCTCTTGCAATTGTTTAAAACGAATGTGCGCGGCGCTAAGGCGAGAGCCACATTTTGGAAACCACCCGCCCCCCTCCATCTGTGAAATCGTTGTCAATTGTTGAAGCTTCAGGGTCGTACATGGTGAGGAAGTCTCAGGCGACCTTCGACCGGCCCGCCCTTTCGACTGGCCTCGGTGTGCGACAAGGAGAAGTTGTTTATAAGGAAAATCAGTGGAGGAGGCGTGCGAGTACGATGACGACGACAGCGGCGTCGGCGATGAACACGATGGAGACCTCAGCAGTGCCCGCTGCGGTGGGCTAATTATTTGTCCCAGACGCGTGCTCGATCCCACTCCGTTAATAGGCCCGCGCAAACAATAATCAGTTTCCAAATAAAACGTGCATTTGTTCAAGACCCTTAGCGGTTACCGATGCCGCTACCCGTCCCTCATGGTCGCCGTTGTGGGCCTCCCGGGAGGCCCTCGTCGCTTCGGCTGGATTCGCCGCCTCGAAATTCTGTTCCGAACGCACTCCGGGAGAGGTCCAGGGGGTAGCGGTATGGGCACCTGGTGGTTACCCCAAAAGCGTCCGAGGCGCCCCCAGGTCCCGAGTATATCCGCATTCACCGCCTGCCGAGGTTCCCGAAGGTCACGGCCTATGGAAAAATGCACGCCTCGCGACACGGCGCAAACATTCATGACGGGGGCGTCCCACACAGTCAACGCGCCTAGTAAGGACGTGCGCCTTCATCTAGGGTACCTTTGCGTCCTTGCCTCTGCGGCCCGTCCTTTGCCGTTCTCACCGGTCGCCCGCCGCACAAAAAAACAGAACTTCGGCCTCCAAGGATCTTGCGTCCTTACCACCCGTCCCTAATACACGTTTTGCTTGTAAGATGGGTGAGGACTCCAGGAGGAAGCATCGTCAGAGGCGCCACGCCTCCCAGGCCTCCTGGATGGGGTTCGAGCAGGTGGGCCGGAGGATCGCGCCGCATCGCCGACGCATCGCCGATGCGGCGCGATTTGGAGTTGGACTTTCTGCACCCTGACGTCGCCGATGCATCGCCGACGTCGCCGATGCATCGGCGATGTGGGTGAATATATCCCCGCGTCGTAGCAGGGCATCAACATTACATTCAGCGGCAAGCCGGGGGGGAAGTGAGAAGGGGCGGGCCTTCTCAGAAGGCTCGGAAGCCCCCTGGCCTTCTGAGAAGCTTTCTAAGCCTTCCACGAAGACACAGAACCCTTCTCAGAAGGCGCGAGGACTTCTGAGGAGTGCCGCCGCCTTCTGAGAAGGCCTTCTCCTTCTCATTTCCCCCCCTCGCTGGCCACCGATACAACTTCGGGGGCGCCCACAGGGGGGTGAGGACTTGGACGCGGAGGGATCAATCATGGCTGGGGCCACCAGAATCTCCCAGCGTTAGTGAACCCTTCTTCCCTTCGTCTCATCTCAAAACGCCCCGTGGCCCCGCGTCGTCCGCGCACAGGCCTCGGGCCATGGTGCGCCGGCCTGCCTCTTCTTGGGCCCCCCCTCTGCGGAGAGCACCCCGAAACGTTCCGAGGTCTGCGCGGACCTCTGGGAGCGGACCTCTGGGATCGGACCTTTGGGATCGGACCCCTGGCGCCGCCCCTGGCGCGCCCCGCGCGCCAGGCGGTTCGGAGGGGGGGGGGTCCACAGTCGTCCCGAGGGATCAGCCCGGACCTCCGAAGGGTTGTGGCCTCGCCGTCTTCTTCCAGGTCACCCGTGGGGGCGCGAAGAGCATCGCGTTTCGCGCGTCGCGGTCCAAGTCAGAGCGGCTGCCCTTCTCGAAGCGGGCGACACGAGGGCGCGATGACCGCGCACCGCGGGGCGCGATGCGCGAAGTTGGGCAACTCCCATGCATCTGGCGCTCCAGTGTGTGTCGATGCGTGGGCCCTCAAGGGTCTGGACAGCCTCCCTCTAGGGCTGGCCTGTTCATCCTGAGTCGTCTCTGGACAGTCCCGAGGCCCGCGGAGGGCCCCCAGAGGCCGAAGAGCAGCCAGGTACTGGCCGCTCCAGCATCTCTGGAGCCTCAGATCTCTGGGCCTGGGCCTCTTTCCCAGACCCCCGATGTCACGATGTGTTCATGACGTCGACCCCCAGCGTCCTCGACCCATGCCCCATCACCGGCCTTTCATGCTGAGTCGGTTTTCGACGGTCCCGAGGCCCCGCAGGGGCCCCCAGAAGCCGAATGTAGCGAAGAATCTCCCGTCGTGATGCTTGTGATGACTCGAGGGGGTCTGGGCTTTGCTGTTCCCCCTGAGGATGGGGGGGCTCCCTCGCGCGGGGGCGGCGCGGCGAGCTCCTCTGCCGCGGGGCCGACGGGCGAGCGGCACACCGCGGCGGAGGGACCCACCGTCGCGGAGCGCGCCACCGGCGAGGCGCGCCCGCGAGACCTCCCCGGGCTGACGGGGCGCAGGGGCGACAACGCGGCGGGGCTCACGGGCCCGCTGTCGGAGGTGAAGGCGGGCGGCGCGCAGAGCCCAGATCGGCCACACGTAAGAGTGACCTTTCGCCAGAGTGGCCTTTGGCGCTGGCATACCGTGGTCCCCAATGTTCGGGTATGGCCAGGACCCCGGGTAAGGGGACCCGGTTAATAGTAGGGCCCCGGAGTCCCTCAATTGGCCAGAATCGCTAAACCAAGTCTGCCGTAGCTCTTTTTTTTTCGGGTCACGGCAGTTCCGGTTAGTGGAACGGGGCGGGGGGGGCATCCCCCAGCACATAGCACTAAACCAGGTCCCACTAAACCTAGTTCTGCCAACGCCCGAATTGTGTCCGAAGGCGATGCGACAGCAGTGGCTTGCGCGCCCTGGTTCGGCCTCCCCACGGCCCCAAGGATGCCGCGCACCAGAGGTCATTCTTGCCTGGGGTCGCTCTCACGTTCGAACACGTTGTTTGTTCCTCCAGACGTGTAGCCGAGGCGGCGCTGACACGTTCAATGCATCGGCGATGCGGCGCGATCCTCCCAACCCCATCTATTCCGACCCTATCTAGGAGGTCTCTAGATGGGGTCTAGGGCACCGGCCGTGATTTCTCATGTCACGACGTGTCAATTTTCTCGTCACGTCGGATCTCATGAAAATCACGACGGGAGGTTTTCCGTCGTTTCTGGCCTCGGAAGTTTTTACCGGGCCTCGGGACCGTCAAAAAACGAGTCGGGGTGAAAAGCCTGTCTGGGGGCAGAGGTCGAGACCTCTGGGGGTCGACGTTATGGAAAGACGATGACGTCGGGGGTCTGGGAGCCCAGACCCCCGTCCTCTGAGATCCTGACGTCGCAGTGTGGTCGGGCCGGGCGCGTTTGTGGCCTGGGTTCGGAGCCCACGGCCCTCGCAGATCGATGCGGCTGGAGGGATGGGGCAGGAAGATGGGGTGGAGCCAGAATTTCTCCACGCCGATGGTGCCGATGCATCGCCGATGCATCGCCAATGCAGCAATGCATCAGGCGATGCGTTGGCGATGCGGCGCGATCCTCAAATCCCACCTGCTCGGACACCATGGAGTAGGGGATCGACTACAGAGTTGAGTTACTCCAGAATTCATGCTCTCGTCGAGTCGTACGTCGAATGTTCGTAGATCTGATAGCCTTCTAGGCATTTGTTCATGAATTCTGCGAGCAAGCCAAGTGCGGGGTAGATCAATTCTGTAGTCGATCCCCTGCTCGGACACCAACTGGGAGGCTTGCAAGCGCCGCTCCCGGGGGCGGAGGGCCATGGCCATCAGGGCACGGCTCGGGAGGAGAAGCTGGCCCCCAGGGAGCGGGTCAAGGCGTCTGGGGGTCCACGCTGCGACAAGAGCACAAGGGCACATCGCCGGACGTCTTGGAATGGGGGCAGCACGAGGGGGGGCCCTCCTCAGGAACCCTGAGATCTTGGTGTCTCAATTTTTTCGAGCCGGGCGTTTTTGCATAATTTCGGGCCCTGAGGCTCTCACATATCAATCCCGTTCGAAAAATGGCGCAGAAAGATGGGATCCAGGGTTCCGGCCGTAATGTTTCGCGATGTCTCAATTTTGTCGCCACGTCGGATCTCAGGGAATGTGGGGAGGGGGTGTCTCTTGGCAGGCGAGGGTGTTCTTGGGGGGCCTGGAGGCTTCTGCGGGAAGGCTCCTCAGAACCCAAGGGGGCGGGCTTCTGAGAATCCGATCCTCCTCCCTTCTGAGGAGCTCCTGCCTTCGTCGGCGGGCGCCCCCCTCGGGCTTGCCCCCTTCCCAGACCTCCGATCGTCATAATGTTAACTCCGAACGTCGACCCCCAGAAATCTCGACCCACTCATGCCGAGTCGTCCCGAGTCGTTTCCTGGCGGTCCCGTGGCCCAGCGAGGCCCCCCGGAGGCCGAAGACGGTTCAGAGTTTTCAGTTCTTCTCGTGGCGCGAGGGTCGTGCGACCTGCATGCGTTTGTTGCTGATTCGTCCTCCTACCCCTGCGCGTTTGCCACGGGGCTTCCTGGTGTCTTCTTGGAAGCCTGGGGGGCGGCCTCTTGGAGCCCAGGGGTGGCACTCTGGGGGCTTCTCGGAGGCCCCTCCCCTCTTATGGGAGGCCTCTCCCTCGCGCCCGCCCCCTCCTGCGCTGCGGCCACAAGTAGTCGAGTAGGGGATCGAGAACAGAATTCATTTACCCCAAACTGGATTTCCCCGTCGAGCCCATGTGAAAAAATACGTAGAATAGTCGGTCGATCTGCGGAGCATCGTGAGAGTATGTCGTAGATTCGACGGGAAAGCCAAAACTTCGGGGTGCATCCGTTCTGTAGTCGATACCCTGCTCGAACAAGCAGGGCTCGGTGGACCTCGGCGCAGCGTGTGCCGTGTTCAAAACGTCCGCGTGAACACGCTGCGTGTCGGCTCAGCGTGTTGGCCCACGTGTTGGCGAACCCGTCGAGCCAAACGTGCGTCTTCAATCTGCGTGTTGGGCTCCGTGTCAGCACGCTGCGGGTTGCGTGTTGCGCATCGGGGCAGCCAAGCAAGCAGGGCTCGGTGGACCCGGACGTGCTCGCCCTGCGCCTGGGCGTCCGCCCCGACGCCGCCGCGGACGCCGCCGCCTGGCGCATCCTGCGGCCGCTGCTCCTGCGGCCACTGCCGTTCCCGTGGCAGGTGCGGCCGCTGCCGGCGGGCGGCAGGGGCTTCCACCACGCGGGCACTCGTCGGGACGATCGAAATGGGTACGGAAACAATGGGCACAGAGTCCAACAGCAGTTCCTATTCAATTTGAGCAGGGTTCACTGTCGGCGTCGTCGCGGTCGCTTAGACAAAAAGCCGCCTGTCCAACAGCGGCCGCTGCGGGTTTTACACAACATTTGTTGTTGGGCATCGTATCCATTTTCTTCGTATCCATTTCAAAGTTCAAAGATGGGGTCCTGAGGTTCGGTTTCAAATCATGGGGGCCTTGTGTACCCTCGTACTTCAATCTATGGAGTGCACTGGCGTCGATCAGCGTCAGGTAATTCATGATTTAGCGCCAGTTTAGCGTCGATAAGCGTCTATTAGCGTCGATTTAGCGTCGACTAGCGTCGATTAGCATCGATTCGCAAGAGCCAGCAAGATGGTATGGGAGGCTCCAGTGAGTTGCCACCGAACTGAGAGATAGGGTCCTGAGGACGAGGTGCCTCAAACAGCGTAAATCCACCCTTGGATCCCGTCCTGCGCGAGAAAAAAATCCAGTCCTCAGAACCCCATCACTCAGGACCCAATCTTTTTGAACCAGGGGATCGACCACAGAATGGATGTACCCCAAGATCAATTGTTGTCCGTCGAGTCACGAGCGAATGCGTAGAGTGCTTCGTAGATCTACGGAGCATTATGTTTGTTTCGTGGAAAATTTGGGGCAAGTCAATCTGCAATCGATTCCCTACTCGACGGATACAGGTCGTTGGTTCGCGGATGCCTTGCGCGGAACGTATCCGCGGGATCGCGCATCCGCGGGATCGCGCACCGGAAACCAGGCCGCGAGGGCGCGGATACAGATACGTTCGCCAGTCGTGAGGCACCGGCGAGACGCTGGAGCACCACCCCTTGCTCCCGTTCTTCGAGGATCGGAGGTTCCGAAAAACTTGGAGCGGCCGGTTTAGCCATCTTTTCGGCCTCAGGGGACCCTCAGCTTCAGGACTTTCGGCCTGACGTTGCCCTGGTCCGAAGTCCTGCCTAATCCCGCTTAGTCCCGCATTATCCGCGGCCTCATCTGGCGTAGTAGCCCCCCAATGGGGCTTAATCTTCCTTCATCCTTTCGACGAAGACCTCCCAGTAGTTGCCTCCTAAGGACTGTCGAAAAAAACAAGTCAGGATGAACAACCAGCCCTGGGGAAGTTGTCCAGACCTCTGGGGGTCTACGCCTCGAAACAATTGGAGCATCAGATGTCCGGGGAGGGCAGCGTCAGGGAGAGGGCCCCAGGGGGGATGCGAGGGCACCGGCCCCCAAACTGGCCCACTCGTCAACAATCGGGGCGTGGGCGCCACACCCCGCCTAGGAACGTGCCGCGTGGGTATTGGGGGCCCATCGCCGATCTATCGGAGACGCATCGCCGATTCCAGGCCGACGCTCGAATCCCCTGACCGCCTCCCCCTCATTCGTTCCCCCTCGGAGGATCTCCTGGCCTTCCTGCGCAGCCGGCCCGAGGAGCCAGTCGCGGAGGCGTTGAAGGCGCAGGTGTCGTTGTTGACGAGCGGGAAGGCCTTGCGGCGCCGCTTCGGCATGTGGGACGGCCCCTTCGACGGGTCCCCCAGCGCCCAGGGTACGTTCCGCCAGCGGGGCGGCAATGGGGTGCGGCAGACAGACCCGAGCTTGGAGGCCGCAGCGGACGTGGCAGCTCGCATGGCCGGCTGGCACCACCTGTGGCAGCACCTGGCGCCGCAGGAGCCCTTCCCCGTGCCCGAGAGCGCCATCGCCGAGTTGTCGCTGAACCTTGGGCACGGCGCCGTCTTCCCCGTCGAGGCGGACGACGAGGCCGCGGAGGCCCTGGCGGGGCCCGACGAGGCAGAGGCAGGCGGCGAGGCCGTCGAGGCGGACGGCGACGCGGGGGCCCCGATGAGGCCCGACGGGGCCGAAGCGGGCGGTGAGGAGACCCCGCTGGCCGCGGATCCTCCGCTCAAGAGGAGCCCGAGGGCAGCGCGCATGCGCACGGCGATGCTCGACTCCGATGGCGACGACGACGACCGCAATCCGCAGCGCCCCGACGACGAGTGCCACGCTGACGGCGACGGCGAAGACGACGAGGACGAGGACTACGAGGATGACTTCGAGCCGCAGACGAGGGCTGCTACGGAACAGCACGCGGACGACGAGCAGAAGCCCGAGGACGACGAGCTCCAGGACCACGAGCTCCCGGACGATGAGCTCCCGGACGACGAGTCGGAGTCCGAGGTCCACGCTGCGGCCGCGGCCGCGCCGCAGAGCAGCGCGCCCCCCGCGTCCGCCGCAGGACAGCAACAGGTGCAGGCACACTGGCTGCAACAACAGCAGCCTGCCCCGACGCCAGCACCAGCGGCTGCGGAGCAGCCAGAAGCTGCGGAGCCTTGCGCGCAAGACGCGGCCCACGCGCCCCCGCGGAGGTCGGCGACGGCCGCGGCGGGACAGGAGCCCGCCGCTGCGGAGCGGGAGCCCTCGGCGGAGCCACCGGCGGAGCCACTGGCGCAGAGGGCGCAAGCGGCCGCGGAGTTGGGGCAGGGCGCGCCGGAGGAGGCCCCAGCCACCGCGGAGCCGCAGGGCGCGCCCCCAGCAAAGGCCGAGACGCCCGGGCTGGAGCACAGCTTCCTGCCCAAGGAGAGCACGGCGGAGTGGGCGGCCCGCGCGCTCCGCCCGCTCACGCCCCAGCGGAGAGCGCCGCCGGAGCCCGCGGTGGCCCCCAGCCAGCGGGCCCCTGGTCTCGACAGGGAGCGCCCGCGCCGCGGAATCGACAGGCTTCGAGTAGGGGATCGACTACATAATTGATTTATCCCAAAATTAAGGTTTCGTCGAAACCACGGAAGAGAGATATAATCTCCCGTAGATCTATGAGCACTATACGTATGCTCCGTAGTTTCGGCGAGAAAATCAATGTTGGGGTGAATCAATTCTGTAGCCGATCCCTGACTCGAAACAGGGCGATCTGGGGCGGCGCCCCCGCGGCGGCTCCGGCGGCCGCGGAAGCCGGAGCAGCCGCGGGGGTTGGCGCGACGGGCGCGGGCCAGGCGTGGGCCGACCCGGAGGAGCCACCCGCCGCCGAGGAGGGCGCCGCGCGGCTGCCGCGCGAGGAGGGCGCAGAGCCGCCCGCCGAGGGGGGCGAGCGGGCGCCCGCCGAGGAGGCGGAGCCGGGGGCGCCCGCGGCCGACGAGCGGGCGCCCGCCTCGCCCGCCAGCGAGTTGCAGGGCGGCGGGGTGGCGGCCGCCGCGGCCGAGGCGCCCGCCGCGGGGCACCGCGCGGAGGTCTCGGCGTTCGCCGCCGCCCTGCGGGAGTCCGACGGCCTCTTCAGCAGGCTGGCGGCCAAGCAGGGCGGCTTGGCAGCCCGGCCGGCGGCCTCCTCCCAGCCAGGGGCGGAGGAGGAGGAGGAGCCCCCCAGCAGCCCCAGGCGGCGCGCCCTGCAGAGGCTGGAGTTGCCGGCGCACGCCGTGGCGGACAGTCAGGTCGGGGCGCCCACGGCCGGGATACGCGAGTACGACATCGCAGTGGAGGGCGGCTGCGCGCGCCCCCCCACGCCTGTCGATCAGTACGGGCTGCCGTGTCGGACGGTGGAGGTTCCGTACCTCGCGGGAGCCGCGCCGCCGCCTGCAACGGGCACGGTGCGGCCTGTCAACGTGCGGCGGCGTTCGGCGTCGCCCCCGAGAAGGCCTGCGGCCCTGCCAGGCCTCCTGGGGCGCCGCAGCAGCCCTCGGCCCGACAGCGCCTCCCCGCGCGCACGCCGCTGGCCCGACGACTTGCTCCCCGTGCGCGCGCCGACGGTTGCGGAGATGGGCGCGAAGGCGGTCAAGGCCTTCTTGAGCAGGGCGTGCGGCACTATGGAGATGGCCATGTCCACCTTCGATCCCAGCGGCGACGGCTTCTTCGACTACGGCGAGTTCGAGGCGGGGCTGAAGTTTCTTGGCTACGAGTCCAAGACGGACACTCGGGATATCTTTAACGTGCTCGACAGGCGGCAGCACCACGTTCTGACCCTGTCCGACCTGATCAACAACTTCAAGGGCCGGCCTGTGTATGATGGAGTTCCTCAGCCGATATTGCCTGCCATCGGCGCTGGCATCTTGCAGGAGGTCCTGGACGCCGAATTCGGCAGCATCATCCAGGAGGTGCTGGCCGACGCGGCCAGGGCGGAGCTGCTGGCGCCGAAGGGCCCGGCCAGAGAGCTCCCGAATGTGGACGCCATGTTGACGAGGCTCGGCCACAAGCAGCAGCAAGACCGGCGCTGCTCCTCCCTCACCGCATCGATGGTGCCCGCCTCGATGGTGGCGTCCGCCGCGGCGGAGGTGCTGTTGCAGGTCAGGAGGAAACAATTAGACACTGGGTGATCGTTTTCGTATTCATTGCTTTGCCTGGGCCTTCGCACCCCCTCCCCCCACATGGAGTACATCTTGGCTGTTTTGGGGCGCCTGTTTCAAGCAGGTGGAGTCTCCCCCCCATACGACGCGCTGTCGCAAACAGTCGCACCAAGCAGAGGTCCGGAGCCAGACCCTCCCTTCCCCCCTTCCGCCCGATGTCGAAACGCGGAAAAAGAAAACGTTCACTGACACGAACAAGCGACGATTTCCCTACTGATCTTAGAACGTGTCGGACATGGAGGAGAAGACAAACATCCAGAAAATATGTAAACGTACATCGGGGTTCCTGGGAGTTGTATGAATTCATCTGTGCCTCACCGAGCGCCTTTTTCGCAGGAGCCGGCCGCGGAAGTCGCCGAGATTCCGCCGCGCCTCCTGGTGCATTCCGCCGAGCAGCAGCTGCTGGGCGCAGCGCCGACCGCTGCTGGCGGCTTGCCGGACCAGGCAGCAGATCCGCTGGAGGCATCTGCCCAGACATGCTCGCGTCGTGAAGAAATCGACTAGACGGAAGAGTGACCCTTCGCTGGAGTGACGCTTGGATGCGGCATTGGGGTCCAGCGATCGCCGCACGCGATGCGATAATAGCGTCTTGCGCGCTTGGGTTTGGTCCCCCACGGCCCCGAAAAGCCAGGCGCCAAAGGTCACTCTTATC